AGTCTGATAAAATCTCCAATCTTACTCGGTAACTTTCTCACGTGGGCGAGGGTCCCGAAGCCGATCTCCATCGTCGTCATCCTGCTGCCGCGGGGTCGGCACAGGCGGGAGGCGGCGCCAGCCTTCCACTGGCTCATCGTCGGCGCGGCCTGAACATCGCCGGCGATCACCGCCCTCCGCTCAGTCCGCAAGTCGGACGACTCGCTGCGTTGGGCCGCTCTTCTGAAGCGCATTTTTCGGGCCAGCCTGTCTCTTGAAGAACTCCCGTGCGACCCTCTTCTTCAGCTGCTCCTTCGACCCCCCCATCGGCCCGAGGCGTGTTCGCCCGGGCCGACGCCCGCGCTGACAGTCGGGGATGGACAGACTTAGTGAAAACGACCTGAGGCCCAAACCTGGCGGGCGCAAGCCTGGAAAATGACGGCCACGGCGCCCTCTCGAGAACCGAACACGGACAATTCACGAATCGACGTGTCACTGCGGAGGGTTCTGTCCGCCCCCGAGACAGGGGCGACCCGTCCACCGCCTGGGGGCTCTGGCAATCTGTCTGCGCGGGCAAGGCCCCCCCCGGCTCCTTCGCGGCTGCTCCTCGCTGGGCAGCTGGCGGGCGTCCTGCGGGGGGTCGCAGTCCGACTCGACCTCGAAGCGCTGCTGCCCCTGCTGGCGTCCCGATACCTGTGATCGACAAGGCTCTTGGGTCCGGGCAATCGCCGCGGCTCCGGCCATCGGGATGGGCAGGCGAGCCCGCGCCCCCATCCCGGCCGACGCCCTACCCGCGAGACCCCAGACGGCACAGCAGCTGAACCATCGTCGCCACTGCCGCTTCTATGCCCATGACCACCTCCTCGTCCTCAACCGACATGCTGAGGCCGCCGCCGTTGGGGGGGGATCAGCTCGAACCACTTCGCCGTCCTCGAGTGGACATTGCGGATCGACTTCCGCAACGCCTTGATCCTGCAAAAGATGTAGTCCCAGGCGTGCGCGGGCTTCCCTGTGACGATGAGGTCGGCACGCTCGCGCAGCGTCCGCAGCTGTCTATGCCAATCCTCGCCAATCTCCTTCATCGGGCGAGAGGGCCGCAGAACGCGCGGCAAGAACTCCGCGGCCATCGCTCTCACCTGTCCAGGATCTTCGTCTTCGTCAATGTCCAGGTGCTGAGCCAGATTCTCCATCTCCTTCTCGGCGAAGCGGCCTGGGCTCTTCTGCGCGATCCTTTTGTCGGCGAGGCGGCGGGCGACAATGGGCCTGCCCCCCGTGGCCTTCTTTTCGTCGCTCTCGAGGGGGTCTCCGCTGTCCTTCTTGCGCAAGTAGCCCGCCAGCACGCGCAATGCCGTCTTCCCGTCTGAGGAGGCAGCCGCGGGCTCAGCCGAGCCGCCACCCTCTGGGGCTCGGCGCGGATCTGCTCCCATGATCCGACTCTGAATCACCTCGCCCAGCTTCAGCTTCCTTTTGCTAGCCGCCTTGCCGAGCGGCGCAGCGGCTGTGCTGGCGGCCGCAGCCCCTGGGGCACCGCGCTTCCTGGACTCCTCGAGCCGTGTCCTCAGCTCGCCCACGCACGCGTGATAGCCATCCTTCGCCCCTGGGTCGGCCGCCTCGGCCTTGCCCTCGAGCGCCTGCAACTCACGCTCCAGCTCCTCGAAGGCCTCGTCGTCGTCCGCGTCGTCCGCTTCAGCCTCCACGGCCGTGGTCTCCTCGCCGGCCGCCGCAGGCCGCTTGCGCGGGGCAGGCAGGGAGCCTCCCTCTCCAGCGCCAGGCTTGTCTGCAACAAGTGCAGCAGCTCCTGCGAGAGCAGCTCGAGCAACATCCCGTGGGATGCCGGGGCGCTCCTCGTTCTCCTGCAGCATCTCCATGGTGTGGTCGGCAGCCTGTGCTGCCGTCAACGTCCGAAAAGGCTCTCGCACGCAAAACTTGCATGCCGGGCCTCGGTGGTACGTACCGGCAGGTCGAGAGCGGGCCCTTGTACACATGCAGGCAAAACTTGTCGCCCCGCTCTCTGCAGGCGCCCAACCACCAAACTAAATATTCTTCGACCGCTCCGAAGTACTCGACCTTATAAGCTGTACCTCCAGAGTTGTCCGACAACTGCCGCCGCACGACTCCCAGGATCGGGCCGCCGTCCGAGCCATCGGGATGGGTCACCTGATGCCGAAAGCACTGCCCAACACGAGGAGCCATCGCGGCGGCAGCTGCTGGGGACGCGAAAGGTGTGCGGCCTCTCTGGCTCGCAACCTGGAAACAACTCTGATGGCGAGCCAGAGGCGAAGTGGTTCTTCTGCGGGGGGTCCGACTTGCGGTGCTTTCCAATTTTGCGACGCCTGCTGGGGACCGGCACGGCACTACATTACTGTGCACATGTATGTCGTTTCCTCTCGTTATCTCTCCCGTGTGTCTCTTACGATGGTATGCTACTTTCCGACTTGGCGTTTTTCTTCCGACTCTCAATGGCAATTTTCTTGATTATTATTCGCCCTCATTGGCACCTTCTCTTTTACCGTTTCTATGTGTACATCTTGCTTCCGTACTGGCGGTCTCCTTCATGGTTTTCACGGGCCTAAGCCGACGTTTTTTTTCTACCTTGAGGCCTCTCGCACTCACAGGGCGCAGCATGTATATCACTTAATGTCCTCCCAGCGCAAAGGAGGAGGAGGAGGAGGAGCAGGAGCAGGAGGAGGAGGAGGAGAAGGAAGAGGAGAAGGAGGAGTAGGAGGAGGAACAGGACGAGCAGGAGCTGGAGGCGGAGATCGGCGGCGACGCACTCCTGCAGCTCCTCCTCCTCGTCTGCTCCTGCTTTTCTTCTGCCTCTCACCTCCTCTCCTCTCCTCTGCTCGCCTCTTCCTGCTCCTCCTCTTCCTCCTTCTCGCCCGCCTGCGGGCGTAGCGAACCTTCCAATCATCGGCCCTGGCATCTGGCTGCTACTGCTGTCGCTGCTGATGCTTCCCGGGTCCAGCCCTCTGGGGAGCCACGTTTTAGAACAAGAGCGATCGATCGGATGTCTGGGTCTGGCTCTGGGACTCCAGGACAGCCCTGTGAAGACCAAGCTGATCAAACTCAGCCTGGCCCCTGGCGCCATGATGTAAGGGGGGCGGTAGAAGGGGACAAGCTCAGGGGGTCAAACATCGGGCTTGAATCGGCAATGCTTCGCTGGCAGATCGGCGACAGGTTCCTGATAGCGTGGCCGCGCGCTCCGTGTTTCACTCCTTGATGTCACTGCATGGTCTGAAGTCGGTGCTTCACCTTCGCGCTTGGAGGCTCAGAGAGTATCAGCTCTACTTGGCTTGCCTTCAAAACATAATATGGCTCGATGCGCCTGCAGAAATCTTGCACTTGATCTGCAGCACAGATGCACAGGGAACTGTACCCAGCAGGCTGCGTATACACGTTCGCCCCCAGGCCTCCCAACATAACATGCTTAAACGCCTGAAGGAAAGCGCGGTTCTGTTGGGCAATTGTGACCTTGTAGTAGTGGAGCCGCTGGTCCGAGCTCGCGTAACATTCGAAGCAGCCATCTGCATCGCAGAAACCTGCTGCGTAAGCATACTGGTGCTCCCAAAGAGGGCAGGCTGCCATAAAACGATGTTCGTACTCGCCAACAGAATATGCTTCGCGTCGGACAGCATACAACGCTTCTTTCAACTCAGTCCGGGCCTCCTTCATGACATCGCTTAGACGAGCCCCACGCTTCCCTGGAAATAAATGCCGCCCAGACAGCAGAAACTCGGCTGGAGGCCGCTTGATGTTTTAGCCGCAATTGAGACTCTCCAGTGCGGAGAAAACGGCAACTCCGAAGACTGCCCATCCATATACTGGGCGATTGTCTAAATTTCGTTTATTCGCTGTCACATTGACGTGCGCACTGCCACCGTATACGTGCTGGAACTCATCGATAACTAAAACCGTTTAATTTGATACAGTTCCCGCAATCGACAACACTGGGATGATGGTGTTGCGTGACGTACGAAAGAAAGCGCTACCATCACCATCGACTTACCCACTCCTCCAATACGGTAATAACGACGATCCAGAAACACTGGCACGGCTACGATAAGCATGCAAGGGGTCAAAAGGCACATGCATGCTGAAACCTTGCCCCGCTTTTGGTCAATGCAGCTTCAGCTTGACCGCTTCAGCCAAACTGGCTTGACCTGAAGTCTCGACTCACAGCCTTGAGCCCAAATATCGATTCACGGGGCGAAGCCGCACGTTCCTGGGCGAGGGTGGGGTGTCAGACCCCACACCGGCGATTAATAGGCGGTTGGGGGTCAGGGGCACATCTCTGGGCCAACTCCTCTTTCTTTTCTCCCTCATCCACTCTCCTTCTCATCTATGCCCCTACTCCTACTGGCCTGCCGGCCTACCTCCCTGACCTCCCTCCCTCCCTCCCTCCCTCTATACGTGTATCTATATATATTATATATATATATATATATATATATATATATATATCAGTGCTTCTGCCCCTGTCTCTGACGCTCTGTCTCTGTCTCTGCTTTTCTGCTTCTCACTCTGTCTCTCTCTCTTCTTTTGTGGTTTCTTTTCCTCTATCTCTTCCTTCCTCTCTCTTTACCAATGTCTCTCTCTCTCACACTCTAGCATTATCTCTCTCTCTCTCTGTCTCGTTCTTTCTTTCTTTATTTGTTTGTTCACTCTCTCTCTATCTTTCTGGTTTTCTTTCTCTCTCTCTCTCTCTGTCTCCCTCTCTCTCTCACTCTTCTTGCTGCGTCGTACATCTGCCGCTGCTGCCTTTCCTCTTCCCCCCACTATTCGCCATAGCCGCCACTCTAGATAGGCAACCATATTTTCTGAGAGCCGTGCGATGTTTGGCAATCATCGTACGCCTTTTCAAACAACATGGCTCACACCGTCCTCTTCATCCTGACAATCACTGGTTTTGAGACCGGAGAAGACGGTGGTGGTCGTGGCAGCAAGGGCTCCCGTCCTGCCAGCTTTGGCGCTGAGACTGGAAAGAGCAACGTGGCAAAACGCGCGAGTCGTAGGCCCCGGGCCAGGTACGTGGCCGCCACGGCGTCGACGCCGTCTAGGGAGCGGTGGGAATTGAGAGGGGGCAGGGGCGGGGGGCGATGCAGTACAGAGCAAGGAGGGCGATAGAGACCGCGAAGGAGGACGAAGACGAGTAAAATACCGAGGAAGGCGAAGGGACAAATGGTGATAATAATGAAGGGAACGCTTAGGAGGTCGAGCGTCACAGTGCAGGTGCACATATTAATGACGATGATGGCGGCGATGGGGTGTCATGAGCTCGGCGGTGACGTCGATGGCGGTGGTGAAGACGCTGCTGATGATGATTCAGTCATTGTTCACCCGTAAGAGCTCCCTGGCCAGCGCACGGTCAAGATAGCGAGATTTATTGCAACGTGGAACTCGGGTCTGTGTGCTCTGACCCCTCTCGGCCAACGAAAAGATGTGTTATCTCGCCACGCGAGCAGTAGCGCAACCGTTGATTTGGCGCTCTATGGCGCTGGCCCCTGAGCACAGCCCCCCCTGTAAGACCGAGGAGCTCCCGGAGGGGCAAGCTGCTCGGGACCCTCGAAGCCTTCGAGTTACGCCAGTGCCACTACAGCTAAAGAGCCCACGGAATTCGAGAAAACCCCGACTCTGAGACAACTTTGACCTCCGAAATCTGCAAGATCTCCGAGGTGAGAAACGTCGGATGAACACGGAGGAACGCGAGAGCACGGAGAGGGGCGCAGCCGCTCTGACACCCGCGAAGGGCATCGTTGCTGGCCGCGGCGGCGCCGGTCCGCAGAATTTGTCCGGTTCCAGCGCTACCGCCACTGGCCAAACAGACTGCATGGGGCAAGGAGTTCCTTTGAGTTCGCGCGGCAGCGCTTAGACAAACACCTCACTCCTGAGTATATCCTCGCTCCTGGAGCTGGGCCTGGCACTCTCCCAGGAGAGCCCAGAATCGGATCGACAAATCGGATCGGCGATCGAAATGAATCGGATCGGCGGAAATCGGCAGCCGAGTCGGGAAAAGTCGAATCGGCGGAAATCGGCAGGCTAGTAGGCCTCCGTTGAGAAATCGGAGCCCAAATCGGAATCCAAAGTCGAATCGAATCGGAATCGGAAACCATCGAAATCGAATCGGATCGAATCGGAGGAATCGAAACGAGCCCTGGAGCTGGGCCTGGCACTCTCCTGGGTTCACAAGATTCCGGATGACCCTATCACACCTCCGGGCCCGCGGGCGGATTGCCGGCCTTCTCTTGATGTTCCCCTGGGCCCCGAGGGTGCACGGCTGGATCTCTACAGCCACGGTGCGCAGCTCTGGGGTCGTGGGCAGCTCGAAGCGATATATATATATATATATATATATATACACATATCGTCGCGCCTTCCCGCCTGGCGGAACGCCTGTTTTTTTCTGGTAGCATACGACAACCTTGTCTTCGAGATCTGCCACGTTCTGGACGGCGTGGGAGTGCGCCACCACGTTGATCTTCGCTTCCGCTGGGATCGTCCCGTCTTGCACGATCGAAAGGCACAACCCGATCCACACGTGCATGTGCGATCATATCATCTGCGCCAGCGCCTCCTGGTTGCCGTTCTGATTGTGTTGCTGCGTCGCTCCCTCGAACTTGCTGATGGAGATGGTGGTGCTGATGCTGTCGAACATGAGCATGCGGATGCAGATGGTGTTGATAATGATGATGCTGATGATGATGCGGGTGATGATGCTGATGCGGATGATGACGATGATGACGATGGTGGTCCAAGCGCCACCGCCAGACCGCTGGAAGTCTCCCCTCCACGATGGAACCAGGCCTCCAACTTGTCCCCCCAAAGCCCCAAGAAGGCCCCCGAGAGGTCCCCAAGAGCCTCTAGAGGCTCGCTAGAATCTCTCAGGAAACTAACAAGAATCCTCATACAACTTGTTTCTCCCCCGTGAGGCCACCTGCTCTCGGCCCTGGCCTCCGAAAAGTCTGGCCACTGCTTCTGCGCCACCACCTCAAAACCCCAGCAAGGCGCGGCATTGACGACAGAACAGCAGCGAGGCTTATCTCAGTAATCAACATCATCAGCCTGGCCCCTTGCGGGCACGGGCGGGGCGATGTCGTCGAAGCCCCAAAAAGCCTCCCCAAGAGACCCCAAGATGCCCCCATGAAGCCTCATTCGAGGTCGGCACGACATCCTCGGACCACCTGGCCATCCAGCTGCCCCGCCAGCACGCCCACAAGCATGACACGCGCATGACCCATATTGGCCAGGATGGGTTGGGGGCAACTCTTGGAGGAACACAAAAGGCGGACGCATTAAAGAAATCCGCGCGGAGCTCCGAACAATTCCGTTAATGTCCCTTTCTTGTTCTTCGGCTAACGTCTCTTTTTTTCTGCGGGTCCCAGAATGTGTGGTGATAGACCGCGCGGAGACCTCGCAATCCCAAGATACCTCACCGCACGGTCCGTCACAGCACGGTCTTGGGATCCTGGAGGCCCCGATCGCCCCGAGACGTCCTCGGAGAACGACCCGAGCCCCAACGCTGCCGCGCGCGCTGACTCACCACACAGTGCGGTCACCGCACCTGAGCTGGATGCGATCGTTCGGCCTCGCAGCCCCACCAGGTCCCGACCGCTCCCCGGCGGGTCGGGGGTCCGGGGAAGCACCAAGCCGGACCAGCGCGCCCCCGGGTCCGCCAGGGGCCCTGTCGCGCAGCGGGGCCAGCCGCTCAGTAGCTCCCAATCCAGAGTCAACGGAGGGCGTGGCTCCCAATCGCCGGTCAGCCAGAAGGGTTTGGCTGACCCCTGTTAGCGTCGACCCCCGTTACAGTCGGGGCGTTGACCTAAGGAATCCTAAATAAGGAACGAGGCCCCTTTCTTTCCATAAGTTAAACTTCGATTTCCGATCGAAAACATAAGGAAAACCTGAGGCAAGCTGTGAAACACTTAAAGGAACGCGGAGCCCCTCCCCAACCAAAAGGGTTCCTTCTTCAGGGCCCCGACTGTATGTGAACCCCGAAGTGGCAGCTCTTTGGTGGCCCAGGGGCCTGACAGCGGGGCCCGCCCCGTTCAGGATCCACTCTTGGTGGCCCCGGGGCCCGACGAGGGGCCCCCGAGGGCCCGAGCCAAGGAAACACCGCGGGGCTGATCAAAACACGCGCCCCGTCGGATGTGTGGGGGCCCCGACCACTTCGCAGCCGATACTTCAATGCTGCCCAGAACCGACAGCCGTCGCTGCTGGGCAGACGACTTCTTGTCTCAAGTGGGCAACGTCCGCGGCGACTCCGACTGCGAGCCCTGCTCCAGGTGGGCCAGAGCTGCTGCTGGTCTTCGTCACAATTCTTTTCGTGCCCACCTCGACCCTCTAGACTCTCGGTTGAAGCAGGCTGTCCCTGGATTCTGGCAAGTTTACTTGCATGGAGATGGGGGGCCTGGCGATACCCGATAGGAAATCTGGACTTCACGCTAGCCGGGACTCATTTGCAAGCCTTTTGGGTCCGGCGGTCCCGCCCGGGGAAGGGTCCAGACCTCTGGGGAGCCTCGCTGCGAAAAAGACAAGACGTCGATTGACTACAGAGCGTGCGCGAGGGGCGCTGGACGGCACAGCCGTGGGAGGGCCCAGTGAGCAGCGGCGGGCCCGTTCCGAACCCTTGGGCGTCGCTGAGCGGGGGCGATACATTAAGGAGGGGGGGGGGAAGAAGGACGCAATTCTCGGGCCCTACCGGCCCCCTCTGGGGCCCTCAAGGGCTCCTTGGGGGGCCGCAAAGGGCCTCTTGTCTGTACGCGTCATTTGTGCTCGTTTCTAATTTTTCCTGGCCCCCCAGTGGCCAGGAAGAGGCCCAGGATCGAAGCACTAGACACGAAAGGATCTTGGCCCCCCCAGATTCACCACAGAACTCTCGATGACTTAGACATGAGCAGTGTGCAGCCCTCGCTGCCCCCCCCCCCCTCAGTTCTTCGCCCCCCCGTTGGCGCGACGCCCAGGAGCTCCGCACCTGCTCCCCGCGCCGGCGCCCGGGAGCCCGCGCGGCGCACGCAGACCGCCGAGAGATGGGGGGGCTGCCCGCCGCGGGGCGCGAGGGAGGGCCGGCGTCGACGAGGCGGATGTGGCGAGGGGGCTGCGGCTCCGGTGGGGGCGTTGGACATGACTACCTACCAGGCCACCCCAACCCAACCCGAAGGTAAGGGTTCCACACGTGTTTTGTCGATGTTTCCCGACCCCCCCCCCCCACTGGAAATCGAGGGTAAATCTGAGCCTTCGGGTTGGGTTGGGGTGGTTTGGTGGGGGCATTGGATAGGGAACCCTCAGATAAAAGGAACCCAGGGTCTGGAGGCCAGTGGAACTCCACTCGTGGATCGGCCATGGATATCACCGCCGCCCTCATTGGATAAGGAATCCTTCAGGGTCTGGCGCCTCCTGGGCACATTCCTCAACCAACGCCCCCACCGTAGTTAGCGTTGGAGAGATCGCATGCAACAGTGCAACATCGCTCCCCGAACAGCACGCTACAGTCAACCCGTACCAGAAGGACGCACGATCAGGATGTGAGGGCCCTGGAAGGCCAATTCGACACTTTGCGAGGGGGGCGCGGCCAACGAGAGCGGCCAAGGATGGGCCGAGGAGGGAAGGATGCAGGGGTACCCTTGGGAAGGTTGCCCATCCTTACTGTGCGGGTTGACAATGTCCCTGTGAGGCGATTCCTCCGCGAGGTTCCCTTCTGTGCACTCCTCCTCCTCCTCCTCCTCCTCCTCCTCCTCCTCCTGTCTATCATCCCTCGCCCTTCCGCGCTTTCCTTCCCCCCACCGCGGCCAGCCTGTCGCCACCGAGTCCGAGGCCGATGTGCCAAGAAGTACGGATGGCGTGGGACAGATAGCGTGCGATGTGGCGCCGCCAGCTCGCTTATTACACGCTGTCCCCCACCTTGGGGGGATGGAGGAGGAGGATCAGGAGGAGGAGGAGGAGGAGGAGGGGGAGGAGGAGGAGGAGGAGGAGGAGCAGGAGGAGGAGGAGGCGACGAAACACGAGGAGGACGCACAGGAGGAACACAGGGAGGAACTCAGGGGGCGCAGCACACAGGCAGACAGGAGTAGGATGATGATGGGATTATGCGTCCAGCGGTGACGCGCAAACATCTCAAGCACGCGAGTAGCCGCGGGCTGTACGGGCGCATGCTGGAAGTACTTCCCACAAGTCGGACACGCTGGTAGCTGCAAGGATGCTACTGCCAAGCCTCATCGTAGCGGCTGGAGGGATCGCAACGTGCAAGGCGGCTTGCTGCAGCGATTCGCCGAAACCAAGACGATGATGATGAGGCGAAGGAAGAACGAAAATGAGGGCGCGGAGACAGAGTACGATGATGATGAGAATGAGGAAGATGAGGGTGAGGGAGATGGCGATGAGGAGCATCACTATGCGGCGGAGGAAGAGGGTCAGAGGGATGAGGACGACCTTGACGACGAGGACGAGGATGAACAGTGCGATAACGAGAAGAGGGGATAGAAGGATAAGGGGAAGTACGGCGATGATAATGTGAAGGAGGAGTAGGACGATGAGAAGGTGGTGGACGACCATCATGATGTCAAGGATGAGGAGGACTGGTAATGACGAGGAGTAGAACACGTAAGAGAAACTTACTCACAAGACTTTAGGGACCCACGAGTCTGGAAAGGACATGTAATACGACTTTGATTAGACATGTCTTCTATTTGCTGGTGAATTATACTCTGGTACGATTTGTGGTGCTACCATCGAGGAAGCACACATGCGGAGAAGCAGAGAGACGCGTTCAAACATACGGCCACACACCTTTAAACCAACAACAACTGCAAGAACCAATGGACCAACCGAGGAGGCTGGAGATCGCACATCGGCCGGTTGACATGCTGCAGACAATGTGAACACACGTGCCGAGCGAGCACGCGCAACACGCATGATGGATACCCCCCTCCGTGCAAGTATTCTTCTGTATGAAGAATCGGCGAGCCCCCCCCAAACCGACAACCAGACGGGCAACGAGAACCATTGGAGCCCTTAACGGGAAACACACGACGATGAAGACATGCGCGTTGGACACACTGAGGGGACAAGGTGGATGAGTCGAAGGGAAGCATAAAGAACTGGTGCTGAGGAGGATGCTTAAGACGGGATGGGTGAGGGCGAGGACGGGATGAGGAGCACAACGAGAAGAAGGGCCGGAATATTGACATCTCATGCAACGCCCATGCCTGTCAACGCTGCTGTAACTCATTGAGGTCAGCGTGCGCTGGGCGTGGTGAATTGAATGTGGCAGACGTGTGGTCCACTTACGTGCAGCGCTCTTGGCTGCACTGTGTTGAAATCTCAGCCGCGCCTAGACCTGCAATGCATTGAAACCGTAGCGGCGCCTCGAGTTGCAATGTATTATTCTGGTGCACAATACACAGCTGATCGCATCAGCCAACTAGCATGGATTGTCTTACTAGGATCCACAAGACAGGGCGAATTGCAAGAACTGGCTCGGTGAAGTGTGGACACACGGTCGTGCGCATGTGCGGGAGAGGGGCTCATTTTCCCGTGCCAGGGATTGCGCCAAAGGCATTCGTCATTGTTACCAATGCAGGCACGAAGGGAATAATTACCCTGCGCTGAGATTTTGTCCAGGCACTGCGGCACTTGCGCTGCTCGATGACAGACAGGCGGTGGTCGCGAGTGCAGAACAGATCCGCAGCTGAGGCAACCCATCATCCCTCATCCTCCAACCCAGTACAGTCAACCCGCATCATGAGGACGCGCGACAGGGATGCCAGGGCCCTTTGCGAGCGGGGCGCGGCCAACGAGAGCGGCCAAAGATGGGCCGAGGAGGGAAGGATGCAGGGGTACCCTTGGGAAGGTTGCCCATCCTTAATGTGCGGGTTGACAGTATCCCTGTGAGGCGATTCACCCCGCGAGGTTCCCTTCTGTGCACGCCATCCGCCTGCCAAGGCTTCTTCGGTGTACTCTATCCCCCCAAGGCGGGGGACAGCGTGTACTCCTCCTGCTCCTCCTCCCTCCCCTCCCTCTTCCCCACTCATCCCTTCTCCATGCCCTCCTGCTGCCCTCCTGCTTGTTCTCCTCTGTCAATACATCACCGCAGAGGCTGCCGACTGATGCGATGCATCAGCGGGTCGTCGGTCCCGAGTGGTTCTGCCGGATGGCTGCCACCTTGGCCTTCTTCCGAATCTTCAGCTCGCCCTCGGGGCACAAGTGGCCTTAGAATGAATAGGAGCAGCAGCAGGAGCAGGGGGCGAAGGACCCGTAGGCAGCGCCCAGACCCCCCCCCCCTTGATCCCACGTCTCGAACAAATTGTCACATCGCCAAAAATTTACGACCGGAGACCTAGACCACATCCTTCTGCGTCATTTCTCGAGCCAGATCGATCTGTGAGTGCCTCCAGAGCCCGAGACCCAGACAAGCCGCCCAGTGTGAAAAAAAGACGCAGCGCCAGGATCTCAGGCCCCCCCCCACGATCCGAGCTGATCGCCCGCCTCACCCAGCCAGCCCGATCCACGCCAAAGCGCGGAACAACTGACAACACCCCTGCCCATCGAGGGCCCGAGCAGCCGCCACGACCCAGGCAGATCCAAGGACCATCGGCTGCACATCTACACACATGCGCAAAGGACGGCACAAACACAAGTGTTCGGAAATCCGCGCGGACCTCCTTCGCTGTCCGAACCCTGGCTGGATCTCAGCGGCACCCGGCGGAGCCGCCGATCCCCACGGCGATCGAAGGCCTCCCGAGCGGGCCGCAGAAGCCGCAGTCCCTGGCCAGCTGGCAGCCCTTCGGCTTGTAGAACCACGCGCACGGCCGGCACTCGCCGCTGCCGTGCGCGGCGGACCCGGCCGAGGCGACTTCCGCCTCCTCCGCGCCGCCGGCGTCGGGCGCCTGGTCCGCCCACGCGGGCGGCGCCCTCCGCGCGCCGCCCGGGCCCCAGCGCCTGCTCGGCCCCGCGCCCGCTCCGCCCAGGACGGCGCCGCCCTCCGCGCCGGAGCCGGAGCCGAGCGTCTCGTCGGCCCAGGAGGGCGCCGCCCTTCGCGCGCCGCCGGCGCGGGGCGAGCGGTCGAGCGTGGCCGCCGCCGCGCCGCCTGGGGCGGCTGCTGGCGCGGCGAGGGCTGCCGGCGGGCTCCGTGGAGTCGTCGCCGCGGGGGCGGCGAGCTCGCCCTGCTCCTCCGGTACCTCGGAGGAGGGCGAGCAGGAGGCGGAGGTGGATACACAAACGCACACGCACACACACGCACACACATCTGTACACATACATACATCTACACACAACTTTGTACACACATCTATATATGTATATACAGATGTGTGTATACAGATAAATATATTTGTGCAGTTACGGATGTGTGTATGCAGATACACATTCATGAGTAGCTATGAATACATGTATGTATGTATGCAGAGATACGCGCAGGGAAAGCGAGACAGATGAGGGAGGACAGATGGGGAGAGCGAGCGAGAGAGAGAGAGAGAGAGAAATAGAGCAACAAGCACAACCCATAAAGAGAGAGAGGGGGGAGGTCATATTGGGAGAGGGAGAGAGAGAGAGAGATATGCATACATATACATATATAGAAATAAAGTGAGACAGAGAGAGAGAGAGAGAGAGACACACAAAGAACAATTAAGAGTACATATAGAGTGAGAAAGAGAGCAAGAGAGAGAGAGAGAAACACAAGTAAACAAGAACAATACAAAGAAAGAGCGAGAGGGAAAAGAGAGAACCTGGCTCTGCGGGGGCAGCGCCATGCCGAGCGCCTCCGGCAGGAAGGGCGCGGGGTGCACGGGCGGGGCCGGCGGCGGCTGGTAGCACTGCGGCGCGGGCGCCGCCAGCGGCACGAACGCCCCTGCGCTGGCATTCAGCCCCGCCGCGGCGTGAGCCATCGGCACGAACACGCCCGCGTCGGCGTTCAGCGTGGAGGCCCGGGTGCCGCCGCGGTCCTCCTCCCGCGTCGACGCCATGGGCTCGGCGGCGCGGAAGGCGAGCTCGGTCGCCCGGCGCACGTGCATGGCCGAGGAGGGGCTCGGGGTGGGCGGCCAGAGCGCAGAGGGAGTGGCCGTGGGAGACGAGTCGAGCTGGCGCAGGCTGTTGGCCATCAACGCGGGGGGCTTCCTCATCGAGGGCGTCGGCAACTTGCGGTCGAAGTCGCAGCCCGGCATCGCCAGCGGGAGGCTGTTGGGAGCGTGGCCCAGACAGTTCAAGGACGGGCTCGCCCACGAAAGACCATGGTCCACATGATTGGAGATTCCTCCGACTGCAGCCATCATGGACTGGACCAAGGTATGCTGTGCTCTAAGGGGCAACCAACGGAGGTTTCAGCCCCAAATCTTGGACCATCAAATGGATTGGGGAGGGGGAGGAGGAGGAGGAGGAGGGTGTGATGATGATGGAGGTGATGATGAAGAAGAGTGAGGAGATGAATATGAAGGTGAAGATGAATAAGGTAATGATGCTGATGGCGATGATGCTGATGCTGATGATGCTGATGATGATGATGATGATGATGATGTCGATGCTGATGCTGCTGAGGATGGTCAGCAGGACTATGAGAAGAAATTTGACCAGGATGACGGAGATTGATGAAGTCGCATGAGGAAACGAGGAGGTGGCATGAGGGATGAGGATATAGTCGGCAGAAGCAGAAGGATGGGGATAGGAGGGGGTAAGACGAAGCAAGGGGAGGTAAGAAGACATGGAGGACCGTGAGGGGATGGAGGAGAAGATTGGAACGACGAGGACGACGACGGCGATGAGGACAAAGACGGGGCGGGAGGAGGACTACAGACTGAGGATTGGCCCGGGGGCGGGGGGAGGATCAGGCGAAAGATCCGCAGGAAAAGGATCGCCTGGGGATGATAAGGAAAAGAGGAGCAACAGGAAAAAGACGATCCGTGGATATGGCGGGAAGGAGACAAGATCAAGCGAAGGATGAAGAGAATAAGGACCGATGACGGAGATGCAGACGAGGATGAGGGTCAAGACGGGATGGCCAAGAATTTGTTGCATAACAATTCCTGATGGTGGCGTCCCGGCTAATCCGCTGTATGCTGTTTCTATCACGATGGTGTTCACATTGATGTGCGATGGTGTCCCCATGAGTCCCGATTGACGCTCGATGGGGTCTTGATGCCCAATTGTGATAGAACATGTGTTTAATCGTCGCCGTAGCCAAAATAAGAGCTAACAACCAGCCATCATCTGAACAGAAGTGTGAAGCCCATACTGGGTATACAACTGTGGGCAAACGTTGCAACTGAAATTTGATGATGACTCATATTGCGGTTCATATTTGCCCTAACATGAGGCTGGTCTTTAAAACTACATCCGAACCCTGGCGCTTGGTATGCACGTGCACACATACAAACGGGTACCATGCAATACATCACATTCTCACGAACCGTGACGCGAACCTCGAAACATAGCTCAAACTCAACATTGCAAGTCAACTGTAACACCAACACGACTGCAATACCGTTTTCTTATATGAACACCCTTCGGCTGATAAAAAGGTAGGGGACATCACTTATTGACTGATTCAGAACAACCTGTTAATAACTGCACTATGTACCTACCGAGCAACGCAACATCTACTATGATGCGAAGACCTTGACGCGGTGGTTTTAACTGGTTGTTCACTGCCATTCCGTTCAAGCAAAAAATAACGCGACATTCGCCAAGTTGGACCCCAAGCAGGAACTTAGTACACTCTGGACGTGTAAGCTATGAGGTGCGAGCTGTCAGGTGTCAGCAACGTGGTGCAACCTATATGAAGCAAAGTACGTGGTGCAAGCCCTGTGGTGAAAGCTGTGTGGTACAGGGCGCGGGTTGAAACTTATATGGTGTAATCTATGTGGTGCACCGTGTGTGGTTCAATCTATGTGGCGCAGGCTATGTGGTGCAGGCTAACTATGAGGTGCAAGCTGTCTGGTGAAAGCTATGTTGTGAAAGCTATGCGGTGCACTGTCGGGTGCAAGTATTGTGGTGCGCAACATATTTTTCGGAACCGATCACCTATACAGCTCCACCTCCTTCCTCGTCATCCCCCCCTCCTCGGATTGCTTTCCTCCTTTCCGGGGGCAGGGGGGGGGGAGAAACGAGGTGCCCTGAGATCCGACGTTGCGAAAAATGCCAACATTGTGAAACATCTCGATCCGAACCCCGGACCCCAACTTTTTGCAATATTTTTCGTGCCGGATCGATCTGTGAGGGTCCCGGGGCCCGAAGTTGGGCGAAAGCGCCAGTTTTGAAATTATGCGTTGAGCGGCCGGCCGGAGTGGGGGCCCTGGCCCCTGAGCAAGGCGGCGAAGGCGTCGGGCGCTGTCGCGTCGGGGCGCTTGTCGCAAGTCTCGATGCGCCGGCTAACGCGACGAAGGATCGAGCGCTGCGCCTCCGAACGACATCGGCCCGAGGTTGATCGCTTCGCGCGAGCGCCGCGCTGGCGACCGCTTAGCGGGCCCGTCGGCCGCCGCGCGCGAGCGCCTCCGCGCGCGGGAGCGCCTCCGCGCGCGGCGGGGGGGGGGGGTGGTTCGCCGTGACGGCGCCCTTGAGTGGTGCGGGCTATCGCCGGCGCCGTCGAACCGCCCGTTTCGGCCGTGACGCAGGGCGACAGCAGGCCGAGAGGTGCGACAGATGGGGCGCCCAAGCATCGGGCGTGGTTGGAGCAGGCGTCGCCGAGGCCTGCCCCGTGGGCCTGGACGCCCCGGGGCCGTGGGGCACTGCTAGTCGCCGCCCTCGGGCGACTTGCTGGCCTTGCCAGTCCTGCCGGCCTAGCAGGCGCCGTTGTCGCTTTTGGCAGCCTTGCGGGCGTTGTCGACCTCCTCGTGGCACAGGCGGTCCTGCTTCGTGATCTGCGCCTCGTCGCGGCGCAGCGATGACGCCCGCTTCGCGAAGCCGGGGGGCTGCGCGCGCCTGTCGTCCGCCATCGGGGCCGCGAAAATGCCTGCCGTGTTCGTGAGATCCTCGGCCTTGGGATTCCGCCTCGCTGCCGACCCCACCTCGTGGGGCCAGCGGGCCAGATGCTCGACCGCGGCGCAGTTGGCGTAGTCGAGGTGGTCGTAGCAGATCGAATGGTCCAGGCCTTCGCGCATCCGACGATGCGCGCGACGCGCGCCAGAGGTGCCGCTGACCCCCGACATGGTCCTCCAATTGAGGCGGTGGGCCACGAAGACGACGCCCGCCGCGGCCGCAAGCGCCATCGCCAACTCTGGAGCCGAGTCGATACTGGCGAAGGGCCACCCAGGACGAGCGACCCGCTTGCTGATCTTGGCAGCGGCTGCTAGGGAGAGGGGCGGGCGCCGTTGATCCGCTCGTGGCCGAGCGCGCGCCTGTCGCGTCCGGCGCCCGACGCCTTCCTCAAGCGCCATGCCTCGACGTCCTCGTCGGCGATGCGCTGGACGGAAACCCGCTCCTCGTCGATGTAGGCCAGGCCCGTGTCGTCGCGAATCACGAGACACTCCAGGCCCCCGAGCGCGGTCTGAGGCAAGGGGTCGCCGAAGCCCGGGTGGGCGGTGTCCGAGATGAACCACTTCCCGCCCTCGGTCTGCGCGTCGGCAGCCCCTGTGAACCCGTGCGCGGCGAGCAGGTCCCTGGGCCCGAAGTGCACCTGCACGAGCTCTTGGTCGACAGGGGGTCGAAGGCGGAGACCTCGCCGCGGACTCGCCGAGGGAACTTCGAGTCGCGGGTGGGCGGGATCACCGTGCGAGTGGCGACGTTGAGGAACTGGGAAGTCAGGTCGGGCGTGCACACAATCCATTGAGCAGGGTTGGGCGTCGCCACTATAGCAATCTCATGCATGTGCCATCAGAACCCGTTTTGACCGTCAAAGAAATCGATCAGCATCTGCCGTTCTGGAACGTCACGTGTTCGAGCTGCTATTGCGCCTCCCCGAAGACGATGGGGTAGCTGTAATCTCGCCGACGATGCCGTTTGCAGTTCTAGGGACCTCCGCAACCGCAACCCTGACGCCGCCCCCCCGACCTGCCAGCGAGATGGGCTGGCGGACCAAAGACACGACCGCCAGGGCAGCGACGGTGATGAACACCCCGCAGAAAATGCCGGCAACGAGCCAAGCCGCGCGCGGGCTGGCATTCAACTAGAGAGCCAAAACAGCGGAGACACGGAACGATTTCCTTCGAGACCACAACAGAAATGTCAGGGGTTACGTACGTGTGTGTATGTACATAGATCTAGCTATCTATATTATACACATACAAAACTGCATTGACGCTTCGCGCCATGCACTTTGATCCTTGAGGTTTGGCATGCAGACAGGAGGGCAATAAGGCAACACATAACATTTACCGATAATTCGTTGTCGTTTTTTCTGGCATAATCGTTGTCATCATGTTGTTCGTTTTCCTTACCTCATGCTTCTTCATCCTCTTCCTCATTCTCGCCCTACCCTGCGAATTTTTCTCCATCCTGAGCTCTTTTTGCGAAGAGTCATCCTAGGAGAGCCTCTTGTAAGCCTCATGGAGCTTTTTAAAGGCTTGTTGGGGCCTTCTGGAAGCCTCCTGGGTTCCTTCTGGGGCCTCCAGGGGTTCCCAGGCCCACCCTGCTTCCAACCGCGGTCTCCTTGGACGGCCGGGTCACGATTTGGAATGATTCGGGAAGCGTCTTGGGGTCATCTTGGGCCGTCATGGGGCTCTCTTCGGGCCATCTTGGGGCCCTGTTGGACCGTCTTGGAACTCCTCTTGGACTGCACTGACTCTTTCTTGATGAAAGTGAAGGCGATTCTCTGGCCTCCCGGGCGGTCTCGGACGCCCGGGAGACCGAAGAACTGAACATTCCCATCGTCGTACAACAACCATGGGACATCAATGTTTGTTACGTTTCGACTGCCTTTGGGGGGCCTCCCTTCGGTCGTCTTGGGGCGTCTGGCGGGTGCCTGGGACCTGCGTGGGCTCTCGCGGTGCCTCCCCGCCGCCCTCCTGACCGATTTGGGGCCCCTTGCCTCGCCCGGTAGGGGCCTCAGGAGCCCCGGAGAGCACATGGGGACCGTCTGCAAGGGCGTCCAAGGTGCCCCTGGGACCAAGGATCCAGAGGGATCCCGCTTCATAAGGGGGGGGTCGCAGGGTCCCAGATAATACAATATAGAAGAAGGGGACAGGCATGTGTATAGATAGAGACATGTCTGTGGGCGCGGAGATCAATTCTCGACGTCGTCGCTGCTCGGAGAGGCCCGAGCGGGGAACACGCCGGTTCGCGGCCCCTCCGAGGCCCCAAATCTGTCCGACATCTACGCGTTCCCCCCCGAAACGCCGACCACAACAGATCCGATATGACAGTCGTCGGCCAAACTTCCGGGCCATGCGCATAGATGGTCAGATTGCTCCCCCCGCCAGTCTCGGCGGTGGACAAACCTCCCTTTAGTAGACCTCCCTTCAGTGAAAACGGCCTGGGATCGAAACCGACGGACCTGGACCCGCAAAAATGACAGCCGCGACGCCCTCTCGCGAACCGAAAACAGCGAATTCTTTAATCGACGTGTCAGGGTAGGAGGTCTGTCCTCCCCCGACAGTCCCCCACCCGTGCCCGCCGCGACCCTCCCACGGTTGTCCCGCCGTTGCCCTGTGGTTGTGCCGTCCTCGTCCCGCGGTTGTACCGTGGTTGTCTGCTGCCCTGTGGCCTGGTTGTCTTGTCGTTGTCCGCGCGGTGCAATCAGATTGTGAAGCCATCGATCTGGTGCAATCTAGGTGGTGCAACCTGTGATGTGCTGCCACCTGCGTGGTGCAATATACATAGAGCAATCTATATGGCGCAACGTGTGTATATCAATCCGTATGGCCCAATCAGGATGGCGCAATGCGAAGCAATCCGTGTGGTGCAACCTGCGTGATACGAGGTGGCCACGGCGTACGACCGGCTGAAACAGAACGCAACGATGGCCAGCGCACGAGACGACCACGAAACGACCACGCAGCGCCTGAGGGGTCGAACCGGTTGAGATCTGGCAAAACCTGCCACCGCACGAAGCGGTCACGTGGCGCCGCGGGCGGCGACTGGTCGAACACCTGGAAACGCATGCCAAGCACTAGCTCAGAAACCGATGAAGAGCCCCTTAGCGCAAGCACTGTCAACGCTGATGGTAAACAGGCAGCCCAAAAACTCGTAGCAAAAAGATAAAACTACAACTGGTCGGACACATGTGCATGGCGAGCCCCATCCCAGCATGGAAAGCTGGCCCAAATGCGGGCGCGCAGAAACCTTACGTGAAACCTCCCTGTCGGCCAAAGGCTGGTCGACCAGATCCGTGTAAAGCCAACTATACCACAATCGCGACATCCACCGCAAAAAACCCAAACACAATCGGCCTGAACTCTGACAATCAAGTGGTGCCGGACTCCACGCGGATGGCCTCGGGATCCGTCCCCGTACCCTGATTCTGGACCAGCTGATGTTCCACAAGATATCCTTGCCCGTTGCCCAGTCGGCCATAATCGAACGTGTGCGCATGCGGGCTTGACCTGGGCCGGGGCCTAAGCGGTGTGCGGCTGATCCAAAGATCCGATGCCTTGATTTGTCCAATGCGGGCCCCCCGGAAACCCCGACCCTTTCCCCAGGACCGGCTTTTCTTCTCGAATCGTTTCGGCGGTGCCGGGGCCCAGCGAGGGCCTCCAGAGGCCGAAAGTGGCAAAAAACTGGGGTCGAGGGCCAAGCGCTGAGCGGCCTGGCCCGACAAGCAGAAACGAGCACTCTGCACCGACTGCCGACGAGCGGGCCAGCCGCCAAAGGAGACGCGGAGGGGCGCGCGGCCGTCGTCGTCCGCGGCGGCACCCGCGGTGTTGCCCAGGAGTCCCCATGCGCTCTCCTCCAGAGGAACCCAAAACGGCATATACACATGATTGCTCGGAGGCCGCCTCGGGGGCTCCAGCGCCCATCTCCAAGACACCCGCGCGGAGCTCCGAGAAAGTTTATGCTTATGCCATGCTTTGGTTCTTTGCTCCTCCTCGAGCGCCGCCTCCCTGGAGTTGTAGGCCCCGTCGTAGCGCCAGGAGTCTCGGGGGGAGGGGAGCGCAGCCGAGCGCTCGAGCAGCGAGACCGTGTAGAGGGCAAAAAGGAGGACGAGGGGGGGAGAGAGGGAGGAGGTGGAGGATGAGCAGGACGAGGAGGCGTGAGGGGTGGAGGGGCCTCCCTCCACTCCTCCTCCCTCCTCCTTCTCCTTCTTCTCCCATCTCCTCCCCTCCCCTTCTCTGACACGTGCCACGGATATATCGAAACCTGGTGGTGCCGCGCACATTCAAATTCCAACGTTCAGAACATACACGAATAGAGGACGGTGAATAATGAAAGTATAGACCTCGTCTTGGCAGCGCGAGATCTCGTCCCAAAATCGTGGGCAGCAGGGCGACTCCTCCCTCCCCCTCCCTCCTCCCACCTCCCTCCACCCTCCGCCCCTCTTCCCTTCAGCGACAGCGCGAAGCCGCCGACGGCGGCGGCCGCAACGACGGCGTCGGCGGTGACGAGTATCCCGAGCGCTCGGGGGCGCCTCCGCCTCCGCTCGGAGCGAACGCAGCGCCGGCCGCGGCGGCGGGGGGGTGCCGCGGCTGGGCCTCCTCCTGCCGCCAGGCGGGCGCGTCGCGGAGAAAGGCGCCAGGGGGAGGCAGGGGGGAAGGATGGCCGAGGAGGAGCGTCGAGGAGGCGGAGGAGGGTCGAGGAGGAGGAGGAGGATGAGGGGGGTCGAGGACGAGGAGGGTCGAGAGGAGGAGGAGGAGGGTCGAGGAGGGAGGAGGCAGAGCAGGAATGTCGAGGAGGGAGAAGGAGAGAGGAACCACGGACCCGCGCGTCGGAGGCGAGGCTCCTGTCGACCACGGGCACCCACCGACCATCGCCGCCGCCGCCGCCGTTGCTGTCGTTGTCGCTGGCGCCGCCGTTGTCGTCGTCGTCACCGGCGCCGCCGATCGTCGCCGTCGCCGTCGCCGTCGCCAACGCCGCCGCCGTCGCCGCCGCTGTCACCGTCGCCGTCGCCGTCGCCGTCGCCGTCGCCAACGCCGCCGCCGTCGCCGCCGCTGTCACCGTCGCCGTCGCCGTCGCCGTCGCCGTCGCCGTCGCCGTCGCCGTCGCCGTCGCCGCGCCGCCGCCGCCGCCGCCGCCTCCGTCGTCGTCGTCGTCGTCGTCGTCGTCGTCGTCGTCGTCGTCGTCGTCGTCGTCGTCTTCAGCCTCGTCATCGCCGCCGCCGCCGATCGTCGGTCGCCGCCGTCGATCGTTGATCGTCGGGGAATTCAGACATTCTCGCTGGGGCCGTCGCCGAGGCTCAAAGACCGTCACAAAACGACAGGGGACGATAAGCCAGCCCTGGGGCAAGGGTCCATCCAGACCTCTGGGGACCCCGAGATCCGACGTCGCGAAACACAGTGCAACATCGCGGAACATCACGACTGGAGCCCTGGAGCCAATCTTTCTGCTGTATCTCTCGGGTCGGATCGATCTGCGAGGGTTCCAAGCCAGAAGCTCCGTGCGAAAACGCCAATTGCTAACAGAAGAACAACGCCCGGATCTCAGCGGAGCCACTCCATGACAAAAATCACGAGGTCGGATGTCGGGAAAGGGGCCTCGTCGCACGACTCATTTGGAGTTGCGGTCCTGACCTGCCCCCCGCACTGACAGAGGCGGCTACGTGAGCCTGCCTCTGGCACATCCCGTCGCGCTTTACGTTCTGAGGGTGCGCGGGTCGTCCCGCGGCCCTCCCCCCCCCCTCTCCTCCCGCCTTCCTCTGCCTCTGCGCTCATCTCGCTTCGCACGCGCCCCGCCGCCAGCTCAACCGCCTGCGGGACCCAGCGATATCTGCACCGGGATTTGGGCCCTGAGAAAATCGGTCAGGAGGGCAGTGGGGGGTCAGATCAAATCCGGTCAAAATCGATCCCCAGACCCCCCCTTGGGTGAAGGTGGGCTACTTTTTCATCCCAGATCTGCTTTTGACGATCTGGGGCTCCAAAATGGCCCCCGCAGGCAGGAAATGGCAACCATCTTTTTTTCCACGAACCTCGCCCACCCTTCCTGCTCGCCAGAACCAATGCTGGGCCACCTCAGACCCCCAGCCAGCTCCAATCTGAAATGCCACAAACATGAACTTTCGGAGTTCCGCGCGGATTTCCCGGATCGGCGCTGGACCTCCCTCCTTGGCGTGCAGGGCGCGCCAGGGGCGGCGCCGACGGGGGGGGTCCCAGCGCCTCGACATCAGCCAACATGAAAAGGCGGAGCCCAACTGGATGCCACCCGACGCTCCTCTCGGGAACTCTCCTCGTGGTCAGGGCTCATGCTCTGGATCCAGCAGCGGGCTGGGGAACTGCTCGGTAAAGCAGCTCGTGCCCTTCTCTGTTGTCTCTCGACGTCTGTCTCTCGACGTCTGGGGCCAAGAGGGGCCGAGAGCGCCGAGAGAGGCTCCTGCTGCCGCTCCGCGCGGTGCTGCCGGCGGTGCAGCTCGAGCGTGCGCCGCTGCCCGAAGGTGGCGCCGCACTCCTCCGAAGGCCGTGCCCGCGCAGGGAGGGGCCCCCCAACAAAGGGCTCCACGGGTCGAGCCGAACTGGAGTCGAACTAGAGCTGGAGTCGGACTTGAATCGGACTCGAGTCGAGCTCGAGTCGAAGTAGGGCCGAGATGGAGACCAGAGCAGCACGGACCCGTTACAGTGGGCCCGAAGGAGGCCCCCGAAACCAGCATCGGACCAGTGGGCTTTCACCAGCGCGGCCCTGAGGGGCAGCGATAGTGGGGGATAGGCGTAAGAGGGGATGCATCGACCTCGCATGGCCGATCCATCTCCCATGCATCGTCAAGACATCGTCGATTCATCGCCCTGATATCAACGATGCATATTCGATGTATCGACCATTCGAGGTTGATGCATCCCCCGTGCGCATCCCCCCCTATCGTTGCCCTGGAGGCCTCAGAGATCCCGACCCCTTCCCTAGGGGCAATGTTTCGCCCAGGACTCGTTTTGGATGGCCCTGAGGCCTGACAGCGGGCCCAAGGGGCCGAAGCCGAGGAACAAGGCCAGGGTTGAATAATTACATCATGTCGTCGGAGATCTGGGAGGGCCCGCACCAACGCCGCACTCCGGCGAAGGGCCACTCTTCAACGTGAGTCCAAGCCAAGAGCTATACAAGAAGCGCTGGGGCCAAGAACAATATAATGATGTTCCAGCGGCCCAAGAACGCTTGAGCCACGGCTCTGGACATCACGCAAATCGTAACAGGCAGCAGCAACTCAAACGCCGGCCAGGGGTCACAATGCCTAGGGGGGAAGACTACGATCTGTTCGCCGCCGCTGTTCCCCCCTGAGAGAGGACGGGGGGTGGCCCTCCCTACAAAAATTGAGGGCTACGGCCAGGAACTTGTTGTCAGCGTGTCACGCCGCTGGTTCTGGCCCACCACGCTTCGGCGCGACACGCTAAGCGCGTCGCCGTCCCTCAGCGTCAACGTCCGTCTCGACCGTTTCCCAGCCTCCCGCCGCGCGGAGCAGAGCGACACGCTAGCAGGTGTTTGCAAGGCGCAGCGTGTCGCCAGGGACGCCGCCGCGACACGCTGTGCAACAGTTCCCGACCGTCATCTTGAGGCTTTCGGTGGCCTAGACGGGGCTGGGGGCCGTGGGGTGTCTGGGGACATGCGTACACATGCCCTCGCCTCCGCCCCTGGCCACTTTCACCCTCTGGGGTCTGAGATGGCCTTCGTGGTGGTTCGATCCATTTGGCTGGCAGCGCATGCTCCGACATTAGGGGAACCAAGAATGACATAAACATGACAACTCGGAGGTCTGCGCGGACCTCTCGGAACGGCGCTGGGGCCCCCCGGCGGCGCCTCCGGCGCCGCCCCTGGCGAGCTCTGCGCGCCCGGGAGGGGGCATCCAGCGCGGATCCGAGACATCCGCGCGGACCTCCGAGCTTTTATGCTCACGTCAGTGTCTGGCCATCGCTCGGACGTCCATTCCCTGTGCTCTTTTCGGCTTCGCGCGTGGCTTCTTCGCCACATGATCAAGGATGCTCCTCGAGGGCCCTCGCCGAAGGAAAAGTGCGCACGTCCGAGCGATGCCGAGGTGTTCGTTCCCCCCAGACCTTCCGCGCCGCCGGGCTCCTCGCAGACGAGCTGCCCGTCCTGGGCCGCCACCCGCTGGGGCCCGCTCGCCGCCGGCCCCGGGGCGGGCCGCGGCCGCTCCCCGCCGCGGGCGGCGCCCGCGTCGCGCTGCCACTGCAGCACCTGGCGACGACGACGACGACGACGACGACGACGACGACGACGACGACGACGACGACGACGACAATGTTGACAGCGACGACGACGACGCCTCGACGACGACGACGGCGACGGCGACAACGACGCCGACCACGACGACGACAGCTCGACGACGACGACGACGAGGCCTCGACGAAGGCCACTGCACCTCGGGCCGGGCGCTGCCGGCAGCGGCCCCGGCCGAAGGTGGGCCCCCGGCTTGACGGAGGGGCAGCGGCTCGCCCTCGCTCGGGCGGCCGTCCCCCGTGCGCTCTTCGGTGTCGCTCGTTTTTTTTGCTTCCTCGCGAGGTGCTCCAGGATGCCCCTCGATGGCCCTCGCCGAGAAACCAAAACACGCACACAGATCCGATCGGTGCCAAGACGACAGGGGGGGGGACTGGCCCCAGGGGGGGAAGCATCGACCTGGAGTCGGCGATGCATCGCCCACAGATCGGCGAGAGGCCCCCGATGGCGAGTCCGTACGTTCCTGGGCGGGGTGGGCCATCGGGCCCTTCTGGGCGATCAATGGGCGACTGGGGACCGGTGCGGCCCCCCTGAGCGCATCCCCCCTCCGCCGTTGCCCCTGCTTCTTCGGGCGACCCGCATCACCATGAAGTTGTGCCAAGGCAAGAGGACAAACCTCGGGCTGGGACGGGTCGGAGATCTCCGTGCTCCGGCGGCTTTTGGAGGCTGTCTCGGGCGCCGCGGCCTGCATGGAGCGTTCCAGACTGCTCCGGCGGTGGACAAACCTCCCTTTAGTAAACCTCCCCTTAGTGAAAACGGCCTGGGACCGAAACCGACGGACCTGGACCCGCAGAAATGACGGCCGCGACGCCCTCTCTCGAACCGAAAACGGCCAATTCCTTAATCGACGTGTCAGGGTAGGAGGTCTATCCACCCCCGACTGCTCTGGGAGCGCTCCAGAAGGCTCGGGGACGAGTTATTCATCCCCGTCCCGGCCCCGCCCCACTTCTCCAGGGAGGCCCGCACGGCCCCCCCAGCACCCCCGGACGAGGCCCATGGGGGCCCAGGGGCTCCAGGACGGGCCGAGACGCTGGGGGCACCTTGGGGCAGGGACGCCTTCCGCAGCCCCCGACTCTGGGGGGGCATCCCACAGGGTGGGGACCGAGCAGGCGGGGTCGCATGGCCGCGCCGCATCGCCAGCCCATCTCTCCGACGATCTGGGCTTCCTTTTTGGGGGAAGTCTCCGTGGAGCTCACCGTTGCGCGCGATGCAGTGGGGCCAACAACTGCGCTTCCTGCATCGTCCCCAGCGAATCTGACATAATCCGGGCCAAATCTCAAACTAGCGCCCTCGCTCGGTACATCCTCGCAACATCAGCCCCAAGGGAGGGGCCAAGAGCGCTGCCTGCACCGTGTCGGCTCCTGACGGACACCAGCGTCAGGGAAGAATCATTCCTTATCTTTACGCATACTCTGCACAAAATTTCCGATCAACCGCAAATCCTGCGGTTCTCGATCTCGGCCCGCCATCGAGCCCCAGGACCATCAGAAGGGGACCCGGAGCCGTGAGCACCAGAGATCTCTGCCTCTGGGCATCCCCGGATATCTGGGAATGCCATCGCAGATACCCCAGCGATGCCTGGGCGACGTCGGCGATGCATCGGCGCCGTCCGCGTGGAGAAGCTCGGGCTGCACATCGAGCCGCATCGCCGATGTCCGAGAATTTTCTTTGGGTGGAGGGCAAAGGGTGAAATCTGAAATGCAGTTTCGATGGATTTTCGGGGTTCGGATCTGCAAAAGGTGAATCACAAGACGGATTGATTCTCGAGGTCATAAGCCCATCTGGATTTCACCCTGAGCCCTCCACCCTCAGAAAATTCTCATGATGCAGCGGTGACGCGGCGCCATCCCCCGACCCACTCTGCTCGCGCCCCTCTCGAGCGTGCCCGGAGGCGCCGCGTGCCCTGCCTCCGCCAGCATGCCCAGCCCCCGCAGCGCCGACGCAAGCTGCGCTGCCGCTGCGGGCCTGGCCGGGGGGCGCGGCGCCGCCGGAGGGGCCTGGTCGAGCGCCTGTGCCGGAGGAGCAGCAAGCGGCACACGTGCAGGCAAACTCTCGGAGCTCCGCGCGGATTTCTTGGATCCGCGCTGGTCCCCCCTGGCGGCGCCTTCGGCGGCGAAGGCGCCGCCAGCGGGGGAGGGGAGCTTGAGTACATTCTGCTTCCCGGCTCGCTACGCTTCGCTGGCACGATCTTGGTCGCATCGCGCCAGCGAGGTGCGCTGCGACCGCCACTGCCGTCAATTGGGAATGGGGGAATGGGGCGACGCGGTCCCAGAGCTTTTCGAGGTGGCGGGTGCCACGGGTCTGGAAGGTCCCCAGAAGGCTGTGGGGCGCACGAGGTTTGTACTGTATGAGGGTCACATGGTCACATGTCTCCTGGAGTTTGAACGGCATGCGTGGTTCATTGGTTTCAACAGGAACGGAAAGCTCCCTGAGGTTCATGTTTCATGGTGCTGGGGCTGGAGCTGGGCTCGAGCTGGATCTGGGACTTGAGTTGGAGCTTAGCTGGAGCTGGAACTGGAGCTGGAACTGGGCAGCTCCTGCAAGTGCTGCTACAGCGCCCCGTCCTCCTCCTTCTCGTCCTCCTTATCCTCCTCCACTGCCTCATTCTCCTCTCGGGGAACACGAACGCTGGACGGTTGGATCGAAGCATTACATTTCAATCGTGGTAGAGGAGTTCTGACAACACGGAAATCACGATTACCCCAGCAAAGCATTCTAATAACAGCAAAGGTGGCCCATTGGACCTGGTGTACTTGTGGGACCTGCGGGTTTACCTGACCTGCGGGACCTGTGGGACCTGTGGGGCCCATGAGACTTGCGACACCTGTGGGAACTGCGGTACCTTCGACACCAGTAGTAGGACTTGCAGGATCTGTGGAACCTGTGACACTTGTGGTACCTGCGATATCTGCAGCACTACCTTTGGGACCTGTGGAACGTGCGGGACCTGTGGGACCTGTTGTGCGTGTGGAGCCCGCGAGACGTGCGACGCTTGTGGGACCTGTGGGACCAGTGCGACTTGTGGGACATGCGAGACCTGTGGCAATCGTGAGTCCTGCGAGACCTGTAAACCTGTTGGACCCGTGGGGCCTGTGTGACCAGTGAGGCATGTAGGACCTGCGAGAACTGCGAGACCTGTGAGACCCGTCGGACCTGTAGGGCCTGTTGGACCTTTGGAACCTGTAGAATCTATAGGACCTGAGGGACCTTCGACACCTGTGGGACCTGTTGGACCTGCGGGACCTGTGGGACCTGTGGGACCTGTGGGGCCTGTGGGACCTGCGAGACCTGTGGGATCTGGAAGACCTGCGAGACCTGTGGGACCTGGGGGACTTGCGAGACCTTTTGGGCCTGTCGAACGTGCGGGACCTGTGGGGCCTCTGAAACCTGCGAGACCACTGGCACCTGTGAAAGGTGAGGGACTTGCAGGGGCCTGTGTAGGACACTTCTTGGGGTCTGCTGGGGGCCCCCGAGATCAGATCATTGAAGCATTTCTGGGACTTCCCTGGGGGGTCTTTTGAAGACGCCTTGGGGGCTTTGGAGGCCTCTTGTGGGCCTCTTGGGGGTCTCTGTGGGCGCCTTGGGGGCCCCTCGGCCGTCTCCGGGGCCACGTTAGGAGGAAAGGCTCGAACAGTCAGCTCGGGTTGTCCTTCTTGGGGTCCTCTTGGGCCGTATGGCGGGGCTTCTTGGGATGTCGTGGGGCCCTCTTGGGCCGTTTTGGGCGCCTTTGGGGCCGTCTTGGGGCCCTCTTGCGAGCCACTTGGGTCGTCTCGAGGCGATCTTGGGGGCCGTCTTGCGCGGTCGGAAGCTCGAACAAATCGAGAACGTTAACACCATTCGAAAACCTGGGGCACATCAATGAATTTTGGCGTCTGGGGCCGTCTTGGGGGGCCATCTTTTGGCTCTCGTGGGGCGTCTTGGAGGCCTCATAGGCCGTCCTGAGACCAGCTTGGGCGTTCTGAAACGGTCTTGGGCCGTTTCGGTGCTCCGCTGGATGGTCGGGGAAGCGATCCTGGGCCTGCTCTGCTTTGGCGTCTTGGGATGGCCTGGAGGGCCCCGATGGGAACGCCCAAGGCTGAATTGATGTACGGGGGGGTCTTCATCATAATATTCGAGAGTACACACATATACATACGCAAATACATACATACATTCAATTCCATTACATTCTATTCCATTCTTTTCCATTGCATTCCATTCCATCCCATACATCCGCCGCCGTGCAGCTGGGCACGGAGTGGGGCGGCCCGCGTCTTGTCGCATGACTGTTTCGGACCCAAGAGGGCCCCAGGACGGGCCTGGAGGGCCTCAAGCGGCCTCCAAGACGACCCAAGAGAGCCCCGAGACGGCCAAAGATCTGCACACGAAGCCCAAGATGGCCCCCCAGACGGCCTACGAGGCCGCCTTCAAGGCGCCCAAAGAGTCCTACAAGATGCCTCCCAAGAGGGCCCCAAGAGGCCAATCTCATTGGTGTTCGTAAGGTGTTTGAAGGGTTTTGGCGTTCTCGCCGTTTCGGCTTTCTGATGCTCCCAGGCGGCCCTCCAAGACCGCCCCAAGATGCCCCAAGAGGCCTCCAAGAGGGCGCCAAAACGGCCCGAGAGGGCCCCAAGACAGCCCAAGAGGCACCCGAAACGGCCCGAGAGGGCCCCAAGATGGCCCCCAAAGAGGCCCCTAAGAGGGACCACGAACCGAACATCCGAGCCATGCGCGAGCCGCCACCAGGGGGGGGCACCGAGGATGAGGAGGACGAGGAAGGTTCCCTAGGTGGAGATGGCCCCAGGCCTCTTCCAAGAGATGCAGCTTACCCGGCGGGGGCGAGTGGCGTGGGGGCCACTGTGCACCCGCTTGGGACCACTGCGACCAGGATCCCCCCCCAGGCACCTCGGAAGGAGCCTCTGGATACTCCAGAAGTGCCC